CTAGGTGGTAATTCATTATAATGTTATTAACAAATTAAAACATAATATTTTTTTGTATCCATTCATTTTTCAAAAATACATAAATCAAATTATATAGGATAGTTATACTATGTATCTTTAATCACACTCATTTGCAGAGTCGGTCCTGAAAATTTGGGGGTCCAAAAACAATAAAAATAAAAATGTTGAGTTTTTATCATTATCCAAGTTTTTAAAATTTGGAGCCTCTTTTTGCAAGAAAAAAATAAAACGGGGCCCTTTTGTTGATAATGATAAAAAAAAATTTAGACACCCAAGACCCATGCCTCCCTAACATGTGTTCAGGCCAGCCTTGCCCATTTGTTACAAATATATAGTTTAAATATATTGATCTATATTGATTGGAAACTAATTTTCAAAAAGCATAGTCAATTTATGTTTGTTAAATCTCCCAGCGAATATAAAGATTGAAAGAATTAATAAGGTATACAATTTTGGAATGATGATTAATACAATAGTTGTTTTGGTATTATCCCCGAGTATGACACTCTAATTGGTTATTATTCTTTTAAACCCACATAAATTCAAAAAAAACTCTAATGGTATAGTTATTGGTTTGCTTTATAGAGGTAATACATCCCTTCTACGGTTGCGGTAAGATGACGTTTTCTCCCTTCGCAATTAAATATGATAGGTTCATAGACACAAATTTTCTTTTTTCATTCGACCAATTTACTGATGTAGAAATGATCACCAGCATCTAGTCACACAATGCACACACCTTTGATATACACAAAGATCCATCAACAAAGTGGCCACGGCCAACTGTTCATCCCTCCGTTAAAGAGAAAATCATCGTTTCAATGGGTTGCTGTACAAACCCCCTATATATGTGGTGTTGTGCATTTGACTTGTGTAAAACTTTACATTTCTAAGTTGTATAAAAAATAATAGGTTTTCTATTTTTACCAATTTGTAGAATTTTTGGTTTATAAATAATAATATTTAAAGTTAAAACTAATCATATATAGATGATTTGGAATGGTTTCAGTTCGTATTTAACTATTATTTTTCAAAATAAATTGTATATCTACTATGTACACAAATATATTAAAAGAATATGCTTATGTTGCATTGTATATTTTCAGTCATTCTTTCGACTATCNTCAACTCCACTCCATCATCCTATAGGAAAATTCAACATAGCATTCAAAAAATAATTTTTCTATGAACTACTATTTGTTTGACATTTTATGTTGCATCTCAAAAACTAATGGTTGAAAGATAAAAACTCACTCATTTAGGATTGTTTGTGCTTCTACACATGTTGTTAATTTGCTCTTCGTATTTTTAATTTTTCAAGGAGAACTTGATCTAAAAACTTGTT